CAAAGTGCCTCATGTCCTGTACCTAAATTCGGTTCTGTACTCCGAGGTCTGTGTGGTCCCATGACATACCAGGGGTTTCCTCTTCCTAGTACACTGACACATGCATTGACCCCAGGGGGATTTCTCAAAGAGCGAACCAAATTTACACCTTCAATTAACTCCCGCGTGCTCTGGCTTGTCTGTACCGTCTCCTTTATCCAAAGCACCCCAAGCATAAGGCTCATTAACATGTAACTACACAGTGTAGACAGGAACGCTCTGAGTGCATTCTTCCCATTCTTCTCAACCTCTTTTCATACTATGTCTTTTTACATGAACACCATCATCTTTAATGCTCTTGGGGGACCAGGTCCTTAGCTCCCCTAAAGCAGCCCAGAATCTCTACTCAACTCAATTCAAACACCACGTGACAAGGCTGGAGAGCCAGGTCCGTGGGCAGAGTGCTCTCCCAGCACTGGTAAAACCCTGAGTTAGATCTCTAGCAATGCATAAGCCAGGCATGGTTGGTACATGCCTATAATCCATGCCTTCAGGAGACAGAAGAGACGGATCAGAAGTTCAAGGCCATCCTCAGCTACCCAGTGGGGCCAATATGGGCCTACATAAGATCTTGTCTCAGAAACCAAACCAAACTAATTCCCACAAACCCTCTATTTTATTTGGCGTGCCTTTACTGTTCTTGAAAGGTTCAGGCATTACTCTGGACTGCTCCCGTTACCCGGCAGAATGCACTCAGGCAGCTCTCTGGCCAGCCCAGGGTTCCATGAGAACCAGTCTGCACTCAGATGCAAAGGACCCCTCTAAAAGACAGACTCCGCCCACTTACGCTCTTATCTCACTCTTCTTACGTCTCCTCTCTCCTCTCCTCTCTCTCTCTCCTCTCTCTCTCCTCTCTCTCTCTCCTCTCTCTCTCCTCTCTCTCTCTCTCTCTCTCTCTCTCTCCCTCTCTCTCCCTCTCTCTCCCTCTCTCTCCCTCTCTCTCCCTCTCTCTCCCTCTCTCTCCCTCTCTCTCCCTCTCTCTCCCTCTCTCTCCCTCTCTCTCCCTCTCTCTCCCTCTCTCTCCCTCTCTCTCCCTCTCTCTCCCTCTCTCTCCCTCTCTCTCCCTCTCTCTCCCTCTCCCTCTCCCTCTCCCTCTCCCTCTCCCTCTCTCTCTCTCTTTCTCTCTCTCTCTCTCTCTCTCTCTCTCCCCCTCTCGCACTCCCAGCCCTTCAATAAACTCTATGGTTAATGGACCTCTTGGTTCGTATTCCATCTCGCACCTTCTAACTTAAACAAAATAGCGACAGTTCTTGAGCAGTCCTTAACGTAGAATGCCAATTACCAACCATGGGAAAGATTTAGCAAATGACAAAATGCGTGTCACAAAGCCCACACCAGGGTACCACAGGAACACACGGGAAGGTGCTGAATTCTCCCTGCAGGCCTCTGTCTCTCCTTGAAGAAACACTGCTTCAGCTGGGCCCTGCAGGGTGACACAGGATCAGAGCTGCCTCTCCCTCACCTGGACCTACAGAGCTGTCCCTTTCCCAGCAACAGATGGTGTTGTACAAATGCCCGTTTTTAAAATTTGATGGGTTCGACGTCCACAGAAAAAGGGGTATACGCATGATGGCTCAGGGTGGATGTCTGTCATCCGGCATCCAGTTATCTCTAACATACAGCACCAACACTGCCTGTAAATAAGGTCTCGCAGGCCTCTTCCGACCCGTAGTTCCCTGAGCCCAGCACCAGCGGAAACCAGTTGGCATAAGCGACCGTCTTCCTCCGAAGCCCCAGCAATTCTGCAGTTGGTCTTTGTCTCAAGCCAGTCACTGGGGCACTCAGCCCCACCCCCAATCCAAGCCCAGCGCCTTGGGTGAGAGCAAGCCTTATCCTCAACTGCACCACGGCCACCAACACAAAATGTGGCCAGTTCTGTCCTGCGCTAGCCCTCTCTCCTAACTCCCTCCGCTGAACTCGGTCCCCAACTCCCTTCTCAGCCTTTCCCCAGCCACACCCTACCTCCCTACCTGTTTCCTGCATGTCCGGCCTGGTGTGGGTTGGACTGTACCCGCTGTATGAGCATGTGCTGTTGTGCACATGCGCGTGCAGGCCAGAGGTGGGCAGCGGCCATCTTTCCTCGGCTTCATCGTGTGAACCTGAAGCCCATCAATGCAGGCTAGGTCAACGAGCTTCGAGGACGCACTCATCTCTGGACCACCGAGCCCAACACCAGGACCACTGGCACAAGCAGCCATGCCTAGCAGTGTTAATTTCTGAATTACCTCACTTGCTAGTGCCTCTCCCCAGAACAAGCGGCTCCTGTCTACCTTAGGCGACGACAGCCTACCAATTCCTCAACACCGAGGTCCTCTCGCCTCACATCTCCACTCTGGAGGCTTGCTGAATTTAACTGTGTTTGCTTACGTAGCAAAATACAAGATTACCCGCGGCAGGTCAAGTGGACTGCCTCAGTAGGACGCACACATCTTGAAGGTACAGCATGCCCTGCCGGCGTCTGCTTTGGTCTCAATAAAGAACAGCACAAAGTGAGATTCTTGACTTTGGCACTTAGCTGCATGACTTACTGAGTCTTTCCTTATCTGGAAAAAAATACTTCAAAAGTTGGTTTACAGAATGAAAGGTGCAGGAAAAAGCCAAATGGGAACCTACTACTTTGTTAGCCGAGTAAAAACACATGAGACCTGGGGGGGCGATAAGCTTGCATGGCCGAATAATGCTGAAACGAAGAGTCGGGTGTCAGTAAACCAAAACCCTAGTGCCAAGTATGTATACCTGCTTAGAGCCATCGGTCACAGAGGCTCCAGAAGTTTCCAGTGCAAAATAGGGCCTTGAAATTCCTCTCTGCTGTCCTGCAGAACTAGCTGATAAGACCCCGAGGCTGAGGACACCACATACACTGGGCGTAAGAGGCAGAGAAGTCAAACTGGATGAGTCGGAGGTTTCCCCCTGGATAGCTAGCTGTCAGAGTACCGGAAGCATAAGCTAAGCAGAGAGCAGCAGCCTTACCCGGCTAAAAGCCCTGTGAGCCACAGTACCAACCTGCCAAGTAAGACGTGTCCACTGATGCAGTTATGGCTCAGCTGTCAGGGGAGCAAGGAAGCACTGATGGGTTTTGAGGTCCATTCCAGAAGAAACCCATGCCCGGCACTATGAACACTGAGGAACTCATGGCTGAAGTCTTAGGCCTGGGGGAAACTTACTATGACTGTTTAGCTAAACCGACACTGTACCAAGCCGCCTTGTAAATACAATGAAAGGCAGCAAATGAAGAAAGAACTGCTCAAGACACGGAGCTGCAGTTGAGGCTGAGCTCTCAATGGACATCCCTCTAAGCTGCAGGAACAGTGCGGAAAAACGGAAGACGGTAAGAGCCGGAAGAAAGGGAGATCGGCGGTACAGTCATGCCAACCATAACGTCACAACAGCGGGAGCTGCCAGCAGTGGACCTGCACTAGGCTGAGCTTGTCACGAGTAAATCATAGATGAAAAGGGGGCCCATGTGAGCCTGCTTTCCCTGTTGGACTATGAGCTGCTGATGCATTCTGGGAGAGGCCAGACATCGCCTCCAATCGTACACCCGCTGATGAGTTCACCACGCTCCAGTGAACAGCAGCAAACCCATAAATACACAAACAGCCCTGGTTACACTCTGGGTCACAAAACCCAACTCCATGAATGTGGGGAAGGGACTGATAGGGGCTGGTGACAGGTGTGACAGGGATAAGAGAGGATGAAGTGACAGTAATCAAAATGTACTATATAGACACGTATATGTGAAGTTATCAAAAGAGCACATTTAATAAAAGGATAAGTTGGTTTAAACATTGGTTCCCAAAGTCAACTGAATATCAGAATCGCCGGGAACTTTAAAACCATGTAGAAAGGAAATGACACAAGGTCACAACTCTCTCTCTCCCCCCATCCCAAATGAGGTTCCTGTCAGAAAAGTCACGGCGGAGTCCTAAAATATGCACAATGGAATCCACCTGAATGCAGACATCAACACGTCAGAACAGATCAGAGAGCCTAACAATGTGGAAGGTTAACACTGGGACAAGAGCCAGGGCTTAAGCCACACGCCTCAGGAATCACAGGACACAGCATCACCCAGTCCCAACCCAGAACCACTCTGGAAAGCAAACACACAAACCACACTTGCCCGGGCCAGGCTTCTAAGATACTACCTACCAGTGAGAAGTCCAGAAAGACGCGTACCTTTTCCCAAGGGTTAACAAGTTTCATTCTTCAGTATTGTCACTACTGAAAATGTAAAATGGCGTGGGACCTTACATCGCTGGCAAGGAAGATGCTGGCAACGGCAACACTGTCTGTTAGTGCTATTCAAAAGGTAGCGGAACATCAGCAGACTGGCAATGTTCTGTCTTTACAAATAAGGTCTTTCTTCTTCTTCTTCTTCTCTCATTATTTCTCTAGGAGAAAGGAGGCGCACAGCTCTGCTTCCTCGTGCTGGTGTCTTGGAATAAATGCATCGCAAGGCCAGGAAGCCATACTCAAATTGTTCATCTTTAAGATGAAAAACTAAGCATGTGTGTTCTAGTGTGCGGTTCTAACATTAAGGAAAGGTTTATATAATTCCAGAGTTCCAACACTCACACCCATGGATAAAAACCTAAAATTTGGAAGTACCCTGCTTCATTAACTAAAAACCCAAACTACAGGTGGTGGTTTATGCCTAATTTCAGAACTTGGGAGGCCAATTTTACAGTCTGGGCTATATACTAAGACCCAATCAAAACATACATACACACACACACACACTCACATTCTTTCTCACAAATTTGCTCAGGCACCTTTTCTTACACACACTCACACTCATATTCTCTCACACATATACACAATTTTTCTTACACACACACACACACACTTTCTTTCCCTCCCTCCTTCCCTCCCCCCTTTCTCTCTCTCTCTCTCTCTCTCTCTCTCTCTCTCTCTCTCTCTCACACACACACACACAAAGGAAAACTCAGTACTAATTCTTCCAGGAATTCCGACATTTTCTAATTATGAACAACAATCATACACAAAAAGACTTGCTGTGTCCTGCTAATCAAAAACTACTGGAGATCACATAAAACTGATCCAGTGAAGACAGTAACATAAATTACATCGTATAACACAGCACAGCAGAGGTATGGAAACGTAACATAGACAGCCTTCAAGTTGCACATTTTAATTTACAATATTTACCAGTAAAAAGGATTAGTTACAAAAAGGAAAGCTGTCTGTACAAAATAAGTTTTTTTCACATTCATAAAGAGAACCCACTGTGATGTCTTACTTTGTGAAGTCAAAACTCAGACAGCTCGCTTTGGTAAAAATATCCTGGAAGGACTGGTAATCCAGGCAAGATTATAAAACTATCAGCTTCCTAACCATGTCCGGAACAAAAACTCTAATCAACATTTTGCCTTGAACAGGAAAGTTCTACACACTTGCAGACCCTTAGAACAACCAGTGCTCTCAGGAGCCAGCCTGGTAAGAGGGCACAGAGCAATCTCTCACTCTCTCGCTGGTAGAGTCTTTTCCAAGTTCGAGCCTCCACTTTGCACAGGGAGAGTGGCGTCTGGGATTTTATAAACACGTTATCACAGCCTCAGGTCGGTGGAGAGCCTGTGGAGTTCAGGTTCAGCCTCTCTCCACCTAACAGTTTATCACACAAATTAAACAAGGAGAGGCCCACACACTTTTGGAAAGCAGCTCTTTTTAACCCACGCCCCTTCCTAATATAACACACATCAGTTTCAATGCACAGAGAAAGACAAGTCATACTGTTAGGGCCCATTTCCTGCAAGGAACCAACCGAAGTGTCAGAAACCTTTTGACAGCATTTAAAGTATAGCGGCCACACGACTCTGCTCCCAGAAGCCTGGACTCTGAACAAAAGCATAAAGTAACTATATAAAGCCTTCAGAAAACTTTATTTAGTGATGAGCTGTGCTCAGCAGGCTAAAGCCCACCTATAAAAAGAGAATAGGTCTGATTCACAAAGTGTATACATGCATGACCCAAGACAACAGAGATGTGAATAATTCTAATTCCGTGTGACTTAAGCCCTGTGCTTCTGTTAGCCTTAAAAACGGATTGACAAGCATCCAAAGAGCCATAATTCCTTCACCATTAACAAAACACTCGACCGAAAGTTAAGGGACAAAAACAATGGCAGAAAAATGTCAAGAGTCTGATGCTGTCTCCTCCACCGACTCAATGAGCACACACCCACAATGAGGATGAAATGGAATCAATGCCCGAGGCTGGCCTCGAGGGACATCTGTCTGGCCAACATGATTTGGAACCTCCAAACAACACAGCACAGCACAACTTCTCTGTGTACACAAGCCAGTACATCCCATGGAAGAAATACAAAGAGATCGTGTTTAAACCCATTCTCTGTGTTAGAAGCAACTCCGCTATAGTTCTGATCCATCACTTGGCTTAGGGGGAGAAAAGAGCGTCGCAACAACTCCTAAACCTCATTATCCCAGTCTGGGCCCTCGCTGACTCAGTGGTGCTTTTTGTATAAAAATATCTGAGGAGGCAGCAAATGGCCGCCCTGCTGTCAGGCTGACACAGTCCCCACAGCTGAGAAAGCCTTTCGTCTCCGCTCCAGTCTTCTCCCTACTGTCCCGGTCCTGACAGAGCAGCTGAGAGCCAGGCGCGAACAAGCTCTTTGTGACCAAGCTTTGGCAAAAGTCAATGAACAAGAGTCTGTCAAAGGCAGAACCATTTTGTGAACAACTCTAGCTGCAGCTGGGGACATGTGTGAGAAAGAGGAGGGGACCCTCTGGCAGGGCTTGGCTAACCAACCCCACTTGGGCAGGGAGGAAGAGAAGACACCAGCAAAGCAGTCGGGTTTGAAATCTACACGGCTGATATTTGTTCTTCACAGCAGTAAGGACTTGAATGGGAAGCATGAAACTTGAGCAACACTTGTATTTTCCTTCAGGATTAAAAATCTCGTCTCGTACTGAAAGACTACATTCAGCGTGGGTCAGGTCCAAGAGCGGCGGCAAAATCTTGGCCATGAGGCTGGCCCGGCACTGGGAGGACAGGTCGCTGTCACCTGCTTCACGTGGCTGGTGGGCAGGCCAGAGGCAATCCTCACTGGTCTCCAAGTCGGAAGCCCTGGCCCCAGTTGTGTCTGCCTCCACCGTTCTGATCAGCAGCTCGCCTCACGCTAGCAGGGGGCACACCAAACCCAGACACCCCTCCTCTCCTGCTGGGGAGCCAGCGGTACCTGGAGCAGAGAGGAAACAGACAACACGGTCATTGAGGACCATCTCCATCTCCTGTTCTTGCAGACATTTGCACACTGAGAGGCCAGGGACACTGTCTCGCTTAGCTTTCCTTTGTAGCACTTAGTGCCATGCCCTGGCCACAGACGACAGATGCTTCTCATATTTCTTAACTTTATCAAGCTTTCAGCTAACTCGCCGGTCACAGACGGAATGTGTGCAGGGCAATAAGGAAAGGATCAGGCACCAAGCCCGGGCGAGCACAAGGAGCACTGGTGGCTTCGTGGTGTGCCAGCAGGGGTCAGACTGGATCGCAGGACTCAACAAGCACACACATCACACAAACCCAGGCAGCACGCCTGAGCCCCAGCTCTGAGCCTGCGTCTACTGGAGACATCTGGGTCAGCGCTTTCTGTCTTGAAGCTATGGGTGAGGTTGTTCTAGTTTATTCCTCCCTGCCCTCCAACTGCACCCTCCCCATCTCAGATAGTGCCAACACCAAGGCGCAAAGAGTCGCATGATCTCTCACCTTACAAGTTAATAAGCCAGGCATCACAGGACAGCTAACAAAACTTCAAGCCATGTCTCTATTCTCAGTAACATCAGCCAATATTTCTCTTCGCTGTCTGCATTAGTACATTAGCAATGTGTTTGAACACGTCTTAGTAATGGGGTTCTAAAGTTTAATTTTTTTGCTGAGAGGCAGGGAGTATAAACTGATACCCAGGTTTTAAACCCTTTGTACCCAGAATAAGTCATGACAGGTCATATCAACACCCGATACCAGCTCAACCTCACAAGAAAGCAGCTCAGTGTTCAAGGGGCACCTGTGTATGCCATGCTTAGAAACTCACTGGACTGTCACAACACACACACACACACACACACACACACGCACGCACGCACGCACGCACGCACCTTCCTTTTTTATTTCTTTTGGCTGTTCTGGGGCTTGAATCCAAAACCTCGGGAGTACTAGGGAGATGCTCTACAACCAATGCTCACAGCCTCTTTTTGTATTAAGAAAAAAAAAAAAAAAACTTAGTTGTCCAGGCTGGCCTTGAACTCCAGAACCTGTGGTCTCACCCTCTCAAGTACCTGAGATTAGAGGCATGAGCCACAGTTCCCAGCCATAAAACGTATTCAATCAACAAGAAAATGAAAGCAAGCCCTGAGAACTCCTTAGGAATAACGGTGGTACTGAAGGCCAGGCACAGGGACTCTAAGCCAGTGCCTTTACATGCTCCTTACCGAGCGCTATAGCACAACAGCCGTACAGTGAGTACCACTCCTGAAACATCAGCCACTGCATCCACGTGCGACATTTTAAAGAGCGACTCCTCTTAAACAGAAAATTAACCCTGAGGAATGCAGTACAGAAGAACAGATATGGAGTGCAGGATATGTATCTTAGAAAAGATATGGAGTGCAGGATATTTATCTTAGAATTCTCCAGTCAACTCCTCTCTTGAACACACAGCTGGACACGGTGACACATGGTGACATGGGCCTGAAATCCCAGCACTTGGAAGTTTGAGACAGGATGACAAACCCTCAGCCATCAGGAAGTCTAAGCAAAACTCTCTCTAAAATACTAAAAAATAAAATACAGTTTTATCACCAATCTGAAATGTCATTTCCAGGCGTCAAATTGTCAACATGTATGACTTCTTGTACAGTACCATTCCTCTAAAGTACATAAGAGGACAGCACTTGAAAAAGGCAGCAAGGCTGTCTCATTCTGCAGCACACTCAAGACAATATAGAAGCCAGCTCCATCGCTTAAGCTGAGAGTGAAATTAAATGCCAGTAATTAGAATAAAAAGACACCCAATTATACATAATCAACAAAAATTTATGGTAATTCCAAAGCAGTTACTGCTTTTGCAAGGAGCTCCATTTTGCCATCTGATCTTTATGCAAAGTGTGACAGAAGGGCGTCCACCAGCAGAGAGCTCAAGGGGAAGAAGGCGGGCAGGCTCCAGTGTGCTGATTCTGCCATTAGAATTTCCTACACTCTCGTCCACAATACAAAAATATCTGTAAGCTGTTAAGTCAGAAACTAGCCCTTTAAGGTGGAGTGACTGTTGGTGACTCCCCAGACTGCAAGCTTTTTAAGTGGATGCATCTGCCAAGCCTACTTGACAAGCTAGATCAGGGATCCAAGCCTGCCGTTGTGTGTCCTGTGGGGGCTACAAACAGATTGGTCATTTGTTTCTTTCAGCCTAAAGGCAACCCAGAGGTAAGAAGAGAAACAAATTTCTTCTTATTGTCTTTTGGAAACAAACAAGCCACTGAATTTTTCTGAGTATTATAGTTCACAATCAAATGTCTTCCACAAACATACCCTAGCCTGCACAGAGCTGGGGCAAAGACTACTCAGGTGTTACTGCCCCTCATCTACCTTTCGGGTAGAACTGCAAACATTCCAATAATGCCTTGGCTCAAAGGGGTTCAGGGTTTTAACTCTTAAATGCAAGTGATTGTCTCCCATCCCTGCACAAGATCAGGTGCGCTTGTCAGGCAGGCTGTGACACCCAGATGGTGACTTAACGGGTCCGTCTTTAACAGCCTTCTGTTCAGAGCAGTCATGCTACTTACACACTCAGTGTCTGAGCATCTCTTCTCAGGGACCAGCCCTCCCACAACGTTAGGTACCCGGGTTTTATTAACCCAGATCCCAGCCCTATACCATCACCCACAACCCACCAACAATGAGCGGCTTTACCCAGTCTTGAGAGACAGGGCAGTCTCGTGACTCAGACTACGAACCAAAGGTTGGAGTTTCAATAAGCAACCTGACCAGTATCAGAAGCAGTATACAAAGGGAATGCCATCCAACCCCCCAAAAGCTTTGCCCTTGGCCTCTTCCGCCTACTTAACGCCTACTTAACCTGAAGAAGACAACAATGAGGCGCCTACTGCCCAGGGGCTGAGACCCCTATGCAAGTCTCAAGTCTCCCGTTTTAACTTTAAACAAGTTACAATGTTTCTAGTCTATAACATTTACTATACAAAGTTTAAACCAGGCAGGATGGTGGCACACCTATAGTTGCAGCACTTGGGAGACTGAGGCAGAAGGATGGAAGGTTTGAGGCTAGCCTGAGCTACACAGCAGGAACCCTATCCCTAAAACAAAACAAATAAGAGCACATTTTAAAAACTGCAAACAATGGGCTACCTTACTCAGCCAATATTATGGGCGAAACCAATGTTCCAGGACAAAGGTGGGGTCGTCCCTATTGAGCCTGCTCCCAGCCTGGCACTCTGCAGCACACTCATCGGTCTGCGATGGTCTAATCTAGTCAGTGATCTTAGTGAGAAGCTGTCATGAAGGAGAGAGCTGTGCCACCAACCCTTGGCATCCTGTCTGTGGCCACAGTAAGAACTTCACGGGCTCACACCTGTCCCTTAGGAAGAGCAGTGAAGTGTCTCTTCTCACTAAACTCCAGTAAGGATACCGAAACCACAGGGCAACACAGCATGCAGTAAAAGCAGAAAAACTCACAAAAACTGAGGTGTGGACAGGAAGTTCCTCCCTCCCAAGTCCATTGGGTATCTGAACATCAGGAAGAAATAAAGATGTCCAACGAGGTTTCCAATGAGCTCATTGATCACCCTGCAAAGAGAGTCAAGTCAGTGAAAGACATCCATCCGGGTAGCACGGGGAGCCGCAGCACGCTGCAACGAGGAGCATGGGAAAAAGAGCCAGACTCAACTCTGGTCCACTCCAGTCCCTGGGACTCAGTGACAGCTCTACAGCACCGGGAGCCGCAACACGCTGTAACTAACTAAGAGCATGGGAAAAAGAGCCAGACTCAACTCTGGTCCACTCCAGTCCCTGGGACTCAGTGACAGCTCTACAATGGGCCCTTTTACAGTGTGAGTGACAAATGTATTCTGGGGGAGAGGGAAACTGGGCCTGGAGAACTAATGACGCCTACAGCTTTTCAAGGCCAGTAGCACCTCCAAAATCTCCTCCAAGCCCCCTGCCCACCCTCAAAATATTATCTCCGTCCCAGCCTGTTTCAGGAGCTGGGGAAGGTGCAAAGCCAGTGACTCTCTGAATTACCAGAAACACAGTGTTGTAGAACAGACAAGGGCACAGACCAGCAAGAACCACGCAGGGAGGGGACACAGGCAGACAAATGACTGCCCTTACTTCTGGAGCTGTGAGTCCCCCTTCCCTTGCAGCCTGACAGTAAGATGAGACACAGCGACCACCTGGGACAGCTGAGCTTTGTCCTGCATCCTGAAATAAGTATTGGCTTCTTCACACAGTCACCTCACCACTGGCTTCTTCACACAGTCACCTCACCAGCCACAGCTACATTACACTTAGTCTTCATCTTCACCCACATGTGGCTTGGTCTGAGCAAACCAACGCCTGTAACTTCTGCCCTCAGGGGTGGAGGAGGATTTAGCAATCTCAAAATGTGCTATGATCTACACAGTCCTTTTGTTTAGTTCACACACTTCTCTCTGTAAATACACAGGAGGAATAAGGACCACACAGGGCAAATATATCAGGCATATGAAAGGATTAGTGCTTTTATAATCTATAACTTTTGAAAATACTTGGTAATGTAGGAAATGGGAGCTCTTCAAATATCTCTAGCTTGTGCTTTGTTTTGTTTTTAAGAACATTCTCACTATTTTTGTTTTGGTTTTTTTGAGACACATATTTTCTGTTTGTAGCTCTGGTTTTCCTGGAAATAGATCACTCTGTAGACCAGGCTGGCCTTGAACTCACAGAGTCTGCCTCTGTCTCCCAAGTGCTGGGATTAAAGGCATGCACCACCACACCAGGCAGAAGAAACTTTAACTTGTAATCGTGCCTGTGTGTATACACATGGATACACGTCCCCAAGCAGGCCTGAGATATCAGACAGCCATGGAGCTAAAGCTGCAGGCAGCTGTGTGCTGCCTGACCCGCTGGAGCTAAACTGGGTTCTCTTCGAGAACAGTTCCTGCTCTTGACCACTGTGCTGTCCTTCCAGGACGGCTCCATCAGATGGTCTCTCTCTGAACTCAGACTGGAAACATGAAAAGTCTTCTACATCTCAGCAAGAGAGTGGAAATTCGGCCCTGCCTGGCAAAAGTTCTAGACCATCAAACCACGTACAAGACATTTCTTATCTGAGACTCTCCACTTCTGGGGCAGTGCACCATTTCCAAGGCACTCTGGAAGTGCCTAAAACTACACAACAGAGTAATCTTATGGATAAGTTCCTAAGAGGAATCAAGGCAAGTTAGTTCTGTATTTGCTCAGTATGGACACAGAATAGAGAAAGGCACATACATTCAAGACATGTGTCTAAAAACACAATATATGTAGTGACAAGCTAACAGACGTCAAAGGGCCTCAAGTCCTGCTGTGCAATCAATCATATCCAACATCTTCACAAGGTTCTGACATACCAACAGTGAGATTCTTTAAAGTCTTTGAAAGACTAGCAAAGAAAGACAAAGATGAATTGAGTTTCCCAAGGATTGTGTTCCAGTCAAATAAATCTAACGTTACTTACGAGCCTCCAATGATATAGTTGAATCCAAGGATAACCCAAGGTAAGTAACAGGCCTAGGAAAGAGGACACAGATGTGAGCAGCCACATCTGAAGACACCGTGACACGGGGAAACTATAGCTGGGGAAGGAAACACTAACCAGGGCTTCAGGAGTCACCAGGTCACCATCCCTATCATCCCTATCATACTCCCATCTTCCCATCTAAAGCTACACGTATCTGTACACCTGTAATTGCATGGAAGGAGTCCTTTCAAACACAGTACTGCTGAATTAATATAAACAAAGATATAAACAAGTGTCTTAAGGATGACGACAAAAAATATCCCAAACTCTGTGACTACAACCAGCACATGGTCACAAAAAATTAGCTTGAATTTTTATCTAACATTGTGTATGATGTCTCAACAAGACATTAGCTTTCCAGATCGGACATCTGGGTCCTAGAACAAATGTAAGACCCCATTCTAAACAGAGTGAACCTCAAGGGAACTTTACAAACTAGTAAAAAGAAGGTTATACATAAACAGCTGTAAGGCTGAGGTGAGTACTAGAAAATCCCCCAGACAAGTGTAACTCCCGGCAGGAGACTCAAGCAATGTTCTGTTCTGTAATGAATAGGACATCACAGGTAGACAACGGTAAGCTCAGGTGGCATTCCAGGGTGCTAATCTAGGAAAAGTATTTAGAACCTAAAAGGAAGTGCAGGGGTGACAAAAAGATTAGAAACGGCAGGATTCCTGCATGTTATGTCTTCCAATTTCTCTCCTCCCCCTCTCCCTCTCCCTCTCCCTCTCTCTCTCTCTCTCTCACACACACACACACACACACGCACATACTCACACACACTCACAGATACTCACTCTCTCTCACACACACACACACTCACAGATTCTCTCTCTCTCTCACACACACACACACACACACGCACGCACGCACATACACACACACAAGCACAAGCATGCACACAGACCACATCCCTGAGGAGCCTGAGGTTAGAGGGATTACTGGAAGCAACATCAGCAAAGGATGCCGGGATGGCTAGGAGCAGGTCTGAGGAGGGGGAAGAGGAAAGACACCTGCTATGCTACACTGCTCTGCAGTGACCCCTTCTGGAGGTGTCTGAAGATACACATTGGAGCTTGGGGGGAGGAGGGATGGGACACTACTACAAAGACAAAAACTGAGTTTTGCCCCACCTAAGTGAAGTACCTTAAATCGCGTTCCAAACCAAAAGGACACAATCAGGTCTCTGTTGAGCTGGGCCCAGACATAGAGCACGGACATGATCAGTGGAATCATCAGCAGCTGCAAAAGTCAACACGGAAACCCCTGAGAGCTCCAGGAGCACACACCATGGGTTGGTGTCAGCTGTCCACACCGCCCACCCCCTCAGTCTGTAAAGCACACTGATGAAAATTACAAACTAATCACATCATTTATCATACAATGAACTCCATTAAAAATTCTATAACCAACAGTTATGTTTTTACATGAAATCAAAGGCATCAGTGTAAGCTGTAATTTGGGGGGAAAAGTTTTTCCTTAATCATATAATCTGTTTTCAAAGAATACATAGCCTCACACTTGCCCAGGAAATACTACATACCCATTACTCTGAGTGCTCAAGCATAAACCAGAAATAAACAGAAAAGCCAATGATTTAGATAACGCCTACAAGAGCCTCAAAGGCTTAGCTAACAGTATATTCACAATAACAGCAGTTATCATTTTATATGGTCAATGTAATTAATCTCAACTGCTGACACACACAGAAGAGCAGATAGTTGAGACTTACCTGCATATCCATTGCTAAGCCAGTAATCTTGGTTTGTAAAGTTAAAGATCATTTGTAGAAAGTATTCCATGGATATCAAGGTTGGTCTGATTTCTCTATCAATCGGATTACTTACGGAGAGATGGGCACACACAAAAGCTCTGATAACCAAGCATAAACACCCCACTAGCCTGAACAGTCAGCAGAGCAGGAGACACAGACATGAACGAAGCCGCGGCACAGCGTGGTCCTCTGGTCCCTGCCACTGTCTCACCTTCTCTCCTACAAGACAGGATGGGGATGTCTGTGCATTTGAAACAAATGACCCTGCTCACACTCAGGGATGTACAGCGTGAACCAGCCCATAACCTTTTCTTTTCTCTTAAAGGAGAGTGTATCCCTCGCCCTATTTTTTTCTGGCTCTTGGCCAATTGCAAGTGGCAGTCAGGTCCAACAGTTTGCTTATCAACTGTGCCTCACAGAGAGATGGGCTACACCCAGAGTAGGGGACTTTATGGATGGACTAGATTATTATTTAGGGCTCAAAGGGCAGACAGCAATGAAGTCAGAAAATTAATTTTCTGGTAACAGCCACAGATTTCACAAGCTGTCTCATGGCACAAAGTCTCTGTGCTTCGTTGACAAGCTGTCACCCAGAGAACAGAGAGCTGGACTCAAGGAGACAGCAATAAACTCAATTGAGTACGGAAACTCCCAGAAGCAATAAAGAGGAGGCATCCCCAAAACCTACAATTCACCCGAGCTTTAAAAGGGAATACTGTTTATTCTCATTAACTACATTGTATGATAAATGGTATTAAAACTGATTTAAATGTTTTTATAGATTTCTATTTCCCAAAACCTTAAACCTTGGGCATTTCCGGCCCAAAATTGCACTGAAGGATACCACGATGCAAATCCAGTTAAAGAGAAGCATGAATAAATAGTCTGCCGGCCTCCCATCAAAAGCTCCTAGAAACAAACACAAGGCAAACATCAGGGTTCAGAACTGTGGAAGAAAGTAGCATCTAGGGAGAAAAATACTCCCCAAAATTATATTAAAAACATTTAGCATTGCTTCTGTAAAGAAAAGTGAAGTTTTACCAAAATCTATACCATGGCAATAAAACTGAACCACAGACACCTGGCTATGGTCAACATATGCTCTACTCACTGACTTCCCAAAAGCTAAAACAGGCCCAAGGAGGACAGTCGATTCCAGACACTTCCTCGTGGCCTGCTGGCTTTGCCTTCATGGTCCTAACATGCTCTAATGAGCACACCTGATAGGTGGTTAATCCCTGTCTCTCACTGACAGATTACAGCTTGTCGGGACCCTTGTCCATTCTGGCTACCAGGGTCATTCCTGCGGCATGGCTGTTGGGAGCCCATTGCTATGACAGGGTTATTAGCTGCTGCTCTTGTCACCATTGACTCCAGACAGGTGCACTGCCACTTGTCCAGCCCTGGGCTGACATACTGAGCAGACTCTGCCCCTATTACAGGAGCTTACAACCTGAGACAAGAGAGAGCACTGTGAAGAGGAATGGCCAACCTCCCGACAACGGATTCTCCTCAGGGTATCTGTGAGGTGCAAGGGACAAAGTGAGAAAATAAGATCACATGACTCAAGTCACATGCTTGTCTGTAGCATCATGGGGGCTAAGACCTGGCTTAGTGCTTTTGTCATTCACCATGGCTAAGAGCACTTCATTCCTAGGGAGAAAAACCAACAGCCAGCTCTCTAGTCTAGGGACAATTCCTCACGCCTCAGTCAGGGCACTTTGGAGAAGCAGAGGGAAGACACAAAAGTGACTAGGAAGTAAGTCACTCCACTCAAAAGCTACCTTCTCTCCTCCACACTCTACAAGACACGGGTCGTCAATTCTTTGAGCCCCTAAGACAAGAATCAGAAAGACAGAGGATGGCTCTTAAGGAGCCGTACAGACACAGCAAGTTCCTGTTCTGCAGACAGAAGACGGAAAGCAGCAGGAGTAAGGAGGGACCATTCCCCTCTCCTCCTCTGCTGCTCTTCCCGCTCGCGCCTACCTCAAAGGCTTGCTTCAGCCACAGCGGTAAGGACACTTATGCTCACGCTCCCTGTAACGAAATACACTGAGATCCCTACCAAACTTTGGAATCTGCTTTTCTGGCGTGGTTCTGGCTCTGTGATGCCTAAGGATGCCTTAGACTGTGTACTTAAGATACTGTGATCACTTAAACTGGCGTGCAAACAACTAGGAATTTACAAGTAACTGGTCTTTAGTTGTAGTCTTTCAGTGCAAGTCAGAGCCCTTGTAAGCCAACACTGCTTCGTTTTGTTTGTTTGTTTTATTTTAGATTTTCGAGACAGTGTTTTTCTGTTTAACAGTCCTAGTTGTCCTGGAACTCACTCTGTAGACCAGGCTGGCCTTGAACTCACAGAGATCCACCTGCCTCTGCCTCCTGAGTGTTGGGATTAAAGGCGGGCGCTGCCGCCGCCGCCACCACCACCCAGCTAAGGCATTTTGTTTCTGGGGTTTTGGGGGGCGGGTGTGGTTCTGAGGCAATTGACTAAGGACACAGAACCCAGATACAGACAGCAACATTTTATCTCAAAGAAACTTTCAAAAATGCCTCTCAGTGGGCTAGAAAGATGGATCAGAGGTTAAGAGCACTGAATGCTCTTCCAGAGGTCCAGAGTTCAATTCCCAGCAACCACATGGTGGCTCACAACCATCTACAATGAGATCTGGTGCCCTCTTCTGGCAGGGAGAATCCTGTGTACATAATAAATAAATCTTTAGAAAACAAAATGCCTCTCAGTTTGAGCATTTCAAAATTGCTCTTTCTGGAAAGAACAGTAAGCCATTCTAAGGGCCAAAGCAAACAAAAGCAACCAGTAGTCTAGTAACTGACAGGTTTCTCTTACTCACATACAAATACCACAGACCAGTTTACTGACAAGTTACTGAAGTGGGAAAATGATATAAGAACATAAGCAAACAAGCAGAAGGTGGCCACATAACTATCACAGCTCAGATCTGGCTTCTGCTATCAGAGTGAGTCCCTAAGGCTCGACTTCGGAGGTATGCTAGGTACTGACGAATGAAATGGAACCATCCGTGACCTTCTGTTTCAAACATCCGAGGGGAGGACACTGACACAGACAAAACAATACATGCTAAGAGAGAACTGTGGTTGGGGGATGACAGGCAAACAGAGATTCACACGGCACATACTACAACATGAGTGAGTACTGACGATGCTGACACCGAGTTAAAGAAACCAGTTACAAACTGACATAAGAAATGGCCTACACAGGCCAGCCCACACAGAAGTAGACCAGTGACAGCCAGAATCTGGGGGTGGGGGGGGGGAGTCAGGGGTGGAGAGCAACCGCTTTGGGTCCACTGAAGGGGCTGTGAAATTAAGCTGCTGTGATGGTCACAACACACTAAAACCACTGAATCATTTGCTTACAAAGGTTAACAATGTGATGTGAGAGGAATTCCTCTCAATAAGGGAAGAAGAAGGGTCAGTGAGCCACTTCTCTAACCTTGTACGTGTTCCCATTCTCCCCACAGGAAAAGGGTCACTAACATGTCAGGGGTCATCCACACTCACCTAGAATTTACTGCAACAGCTTACTCATCCTTACAAAGCAGGAGAGTAGAGTGCGAAGCTACCAGCAGCACTACCAACAACTGAGCAAGAGAGAGTGAAAACCATAAGTTCTGGGAGCAGGAGGGGAGTCCTGGTATGGTGGTGAGAGAGAGACAGAGAGACAGAGAGAGAGAGAGAGAGAGAGAGAGAGGGAGGGAGGGAGGGAGGGAGGGAGGGAGGGAGGGAGGGAGGGAGGGAGGGAGGGAGGGAGGGAGGGAGGGAGGGAGGGAGGGAGAGAGAGAGAGAGAGAGAGAGAGAGAGAGAGAGAGAGAGAGAGAGAGAGAGGAGAGAGAGACTGTGTCTATGTGTGTCTGTGTGTGTTTATGTGTGTGTGTATGTGTGACTGTGTCTGTGTGTGTGTGACTGTGTGTCTCTGTGTGCATGTGTCTCTGTGTATGTGTCTGTTTGTATGTGTGTCTGTATCTGTGTGTCTCTGTGAGCGTGTGTGTGTATGTGTCTGTGTGTCTCTGTCTGTATGTATGTCTGTGTGTCTATGTCTCTGTGTGTGCGTGTCTTGTGTGTTTATGTGTCTGTGTCTGTCTCTGTGTGTGTGTTGGTGTGTTTTTATGTCTGTGTGTCTCTGTATCTGTGTGTATATGTGCCTGTGTGTGTGTCTGTGTTTCTCTATGTCTGTGAGTGTGTGTGTCTGTGTTTCTCTGTCTGTGTGTGTCTCTGTGAGTGTGTGTGCATCTCTATGTCTGTGTCTGTGTGTGTGTGTGTGTGTGTGTGTGTGTGTGTGTGTGTGTCATGTACATCAGCATGCATCCAGTAGAGGTCAGGGGATAACCTGCTGGGAGTCAGCTCCATCCTTCCATTACATCGGCTTCAGGGAACCAGCCTTGGGCTGCCAGCCTTGGTGGCGAGCACCTTTACCAGGTGAACTACCTTACTGGCCTCAGCCTTCTGTCTATCTGCAAAGAAAGGTCTGGAACCCCACCTTATGCTTTGTACTAAAATGGTGACTTCTTTTTAAACGTTGCATTTCACCCCACTCTGTCCCTGCAGCTGTAAGAGAGAGTCACAATTTTCAAATACTTGGGCAGACTCAAGGATGTTTCAGAAACCTGATCTAGGGAAGAGCCAGCCGTTTTATAAAATCTCTGAAATCAGTCAACCTTTGCAAATCATTTACACTCAACAAAAGTATATCTGTATTTTAACAGAGTGTCAATGTACTGCTTCTTTGTATAAGCAACTCAAAACAGCATAAAGTACTGTAGGAACTACATAAATCAATAAGACTTTTAAAACATGAATTGCTTCTCCATTATATCACACAAGAAGCTGTATTTGAGAGAAACCCTGTCTTGACAAACCAAAAAAAAAAAAAAAGAAGAAGAAGAAGAAGCTGTATTTGAAAAACTACCAAGTGTGGTACTGCCTACATAGAGTGTATGTGCAGTATATGCGCAGGGCCCTGCGGTGCCTGTGTAAGGTCAGGTCAGCAGTCAGTATGCTCCCCTGCTGCTCACTACCTTATTTTTAGAGCAGAGCGCTGAAACTGGAGCTTACCAACCGACCCCACCAGGTGGAGAGAGCGCCCCCACCCCCCATCCTTGAGTGGGTGCAGTCACACCCAGCTTATTTACACACCTAAAGGATCTGAGATCACATCCTCAGGCTGGCACTTTACCCGCCCAGCCATCCTTTCCTGCCCCACGCTGGGTGCTGGGTGCTTCACCAGAGATAACATTAGGCCCTGACTCCATGAAGTAGTCCAAGAGACACATACACTCTAGCCCAGCTTGACCCCAGCAGGACAAGGACTGGAGTAAGTGCACTGAGGAGATGAGGAAGACACTCGAAATTCCAATCTTCTGTTAATTGCTTCTATAACACGACAAACTGCAACTAAAAACTCAATTTGGCTGAGTGTGCATGTGTATACCTTTAATTTGATGTGGCAGTGCATACCTTTAATCCCAAACTCAGGAGGCAGAGGCAGGTGGATGTCTTGAACTGGAAGCCTTCTGGATCTAGCCAGAGACAGATAGTAAGACCCCCATCTCCAAAGGAGGGGGAGGGGATCACACACAAAACTCAGTCTAAGTGCTAATAGTCATGACCCAGTATGCATGTAAGAACCATCATTAGTCATTCCTTTCCATACTGCTAACGGCCCCAAATCCAAGGAAACGTATGAATTAGAAAGTTAGAATGAAACAATGGATAACTTACCTGCTTCAAGCCGTGTAGAGTACTGATATAAGAAATATAAATTGACCAAATAAAGAAATCCAGTTCCTGGACCCACGGGGAAATAAAAGGTGGCAGTGAATGGCCTCCATATCTGAACAGATCAAAACAAACAGGTGTCAGTTTCTCTGAGCTGGAGCAAACTTTTTTTCTTTCAATTAAACAAAATCAAGCTGTCTTTCAATGAGAGGTAAAGTGACATCAACACAATTTGAGAAGACAAGAGTTCCTGCCAGCTTATATGACATCAATTCACAGATCAGTGAAATAAAAGGACATCAAAATGGTCAATAAACATTTTTAAACAAGTTAACAAAATCAATACTATGTAATGTATGGCTAGTCCTAAGGTAAAAATATCACACTCAAAAGATAGAGGTTAGCAGGAATCAAACCACTGTGCTAATAAATAAGCAATATGGGCACAAAAGAAAGTCTCTCTCACACACACACACACACACACACACACACACACACACACACACACTCTGACTTCACCTGATTTCCTTTGGGAGCAATACTATAAACCAGGACTTTATACATGCTAGGCTAAGTGCTCCATCACTGAAATATGTCTCAGCCCTCTCCACATTTTTATTGAGAGGGTCTCACTACACGGCCTGGGCTGGCCCTGAAGATTTAGTTCTTCAACTTTCAATCCTCCTGCCTCAGCATCAAGAGTTGCTGGAATTACAAGGTTGCCTGCACCACAAGGCCCAGCTTTTATTTTTGGTTTGTTGAGACAGGGTTTGTGTAGCCCTGGCTGTCCTGGAACTCATTATGAAGACCAGGCTGACCTCAAACTCAGAGATCTGTGTGGCTCTGCTTCCCCAGTCCTGGGATCAAAGATGAGTGCCACCATACCTGGCCTTTGCTTTGCTTTTGAAGAGTGTCTCGGAGCCCAGGCTATGCTGGACGGTTCAATCTGCCTGCCTGTCTCAGCCCGAGTGCTAGGATTCTGAGCACACACCACCATGCGCGGCCATTTCCTGGCTTTTCTACCACACTCTTCCTTCTCCACACTTTACATTGCAGTTTTCTCTCTGCATTCCCTTGACAAAATATTTCTATTGGCTTCGCCATACTTTTTATGTGGATATCCAAACTCTGTTTAAACTGTTATGATGCCATGATGAAAATTTTAAATATCCTCTACAAACACACACCATACACACACACACACACACACACACACACACACACACACACACACACACACACGCAGAGTAAATGCCTGCGAATCAATCTGTTAGATCAACAGACATATGCACTTATTTTGGTAGATATTGCCAAATGTCTACAGAGATGTATAATTAATTTATACCTCCTCCTAAAATGTAAATGAGTGACATCTTTCTACACTTACTCACCACAAAGAGTATTTTACAATCACTAACCTGAAAAACCAATTTGTATTGCTGAGAAAGCTGAGCATCTTCCGGTATCTTCCAACTATATTTTCTTTCTACCTTTTCTACATTTTAAAAACATCCACTTCCCTGAAAGATTAGCGTTTCTTTATATATTATGGAATTTTCTTGGTGCATGCTATTTTCTGTTCTGTCATTAGACTCATGCCTTTTATAGTACTTTTGCTGTATTTTATACAGCAATATCTATTTTATAGTGTCTTTATTTTTAGAGACACTGATTTTTATAGGACTTTTGCTGTGTGTTCAAACTTACAAAATTTTTTCTATGATTTTTTTCCCAAGGATAGAAACACATTCAATTTTACTGCAACACCTTTGCAATTCATACAGAATGAGGAACAGATTCAACTTGTTTTTCTAGATGGTCATTTGCTTTCTGGTCTTCATTAAAGCAAATGCACGTTCTCCAATTATGTGAAAGGCTAATCATTTTAAGGCCTACTTTCAGATTAGGTCATTTAGAATGAATGCCTATACTAAGTTATTTTAATTTCTGATTTAATAATGTATTTCCATATCTAAGGAAATATAACCCCTCTCCCCATTTCTCTCACAAATTCTTTTCCTGGCTCGTCTCAATACTATTGTGAAGTAAATCAGACCCAACATCTCTATTTTTATCATCGTGACACTGGCATACTCTTACCTAACTGTCACGATTCTACAGAACTTTCCCATTTCCCTTTTATAATCAACCATCAAAACAGGTAACATTTGAAAATTGAACCTCTTGCCTTTCCCAAGCACACAAGTCTATGTTCAAATAAAATTGTCTATCTTCTTTTACCTTACCATTCACTGGCTCCTAGCTCCAAAACATTATTAAACAATAATAAAGTGATGGCCTCCTAGACTGGTAAACAGCGTAACGCTGACCTTCGGCTTAAAAGCTATGTGTCTTAAGGCCCACTACCACTTGCCAAGCAGGAAAAGCGTGGCTGGATCAATCAAGGGAAGACTGTCAAAATGAGCAAGAGTTGGCACAAGCAGAGAAAATACGCTCTTGGCAGAAAGCCCCCCAGAACCGCGAGAGCACGGTGAACAGAAGAGGCTGCTAACATCCAGGGCTGCTAGGACGGAAGACAACAGTCACAGAGGCTGCCACAACAGAGCTGCCGGCTCCATTCTTCATGGACAGAAACTGAACCCTCAAAGCTTAGTGCTGTGTAGAGAGTGTGACCTTCAAGCAGCCTGCACTAAAGCAGTCAAGCAGCAGGTTCAACCATCTCCATCACAACCTGACCACGGGAGCAGCGCTGCAGATGACGCCAGAGGCCCTGAACTAAGCTGCTGCAAAGTCAACATTTCTCGGCCTCAAGTTCAAAGTCAAAGGGGAGAGTCAAGTACAGCCCCCTGCTGGTTGCTTTGTTTTGTTTAGGGGTCCTGGGAACGGAACCCAGGACCTGAATATGCTGAGTAAATGCTTTATCAACCAAGTTGAATACACCCCCAGACCTTGATTAACGGCTTCCAAAAAATGAATTAGCATGCTCCTTGGCTTATTTACGCTCAATGATTCAGAAGGTGGGTTTTCCAGATGAGGAAACAGTGTGGCAAAAGGTTACATAGTAACTAACTAGTCACAGATAGACAGAACTGTCCTATCATAACCCTAGAATTTCTAAGACTAAACCCTCATTTCTACAATGCCTCTCATAAGAGACATCAGTATTACAACTACAATGAATAAAAATTTCCACTACTGCTATCCTTGTATGGCCCAGAAACAGACTAAGAGCAAACCTACCTGCCCTCTGTCCCTACCCCACCCCCGCTGCAAAAAAACACTGTAGGGCAGAAGCCTTGGAATCTTGTATGTGTGGACTTCTCAGCTGGCTTTGTTTCCCCTATGACAGTTGTCCTGGAAACACCTGCCCTCATCCTTTACCCTACAGGCCTCCAAAGGTTGGAATCAAGAAAGTGGATTGGAAATGTGCTGTTAAAAAAAAAAATTAGAGCACTTATGAAGGTGTGCTACTATTACAGCCTTTCAGAAAACACCCACTGACCTGGTTTTTAAAAATTCACATTTCACCCACTCCCATGTTCCTTGAAATTACTCAAGACCTGATTTTAGAAAAGAAACCTGGGTTTTTTTCCCCTGACTACATTTTCTCTACCGCTGATGACACAACACTATTTTTAGCCACTGTGTGCACCTGCTCTTCAGAAATCAGTGTCTGTCAAAATATCTCACTTCTCTTCCCTGTTCATTAAGCTTCCCCTTGAGCTACACTTGCTTTCATTCATCTGAGAGACCTATTATTTCTGTATTACTTTAAAATTATACTTTGAAATCACTAAGCACTGGGTCTTTTGAGGAGGCAACACTGTTTATTTCTGAAATCCCCACTGTAGCCTCTCTCTTCCTCTATCTGACATGTAAATAGGGTAGGAAACGGCTTTGTTTGCAGGGCCATGATAGAAAGGTACACTTTCAACTCTGCAAAGCCCAGGAGCGGAGCCTGGGAGACAGAACTGTGTCTCAGTCCCACTAGGAGACTTGGGGAGACTCCTCACACAGCATCCCACAGGAGGAGACTTGGGGAGAGACTACTCACACAGCATCCTACAGGAGACTTGGGGAGAAACTCCTCACACAGCATCCTACAGGAGACTTGGGGAGAGACTCTTCACACAGCATCCCAAGACCAGACACTTCCCACAGTGGGGGGTTTTTGGCCCTGGGAGTGAGGCTCTTGGGGGAGGGATGTGCTTTCCTTGTCCTTCCTTTTCTTTTCTTGAGACAGAGTCTTGCTATGTAACCCTAACTGGCCACGGTGATCATCCTGCTAATCCTCCTGCCTCAACCTACCAGGTGTTCAAACTACAGGTCTGTGCCACCATGCCCAACTACAAATTTGTGTCTGTGTGTGTGTTCTTCAAGAGAAAAGCATATGAGAGAGAGAGAGAGAGGGGGGGGGGGGTCCTAACTAGAATCGGGTAATCTGAGGAACCAGAACATGTTCATTGTCATACAAACCCTCAAAAAGGCATATTATTCTTCCAACAGTGTTAGAGATGTGTCCATCATTTAACTAAAACTTCCCAAATAACCTGCTAATGAGATACTGCAAATGCCATCCAGAATCAAAGCAGAATAATAAAGTGCGAAAAGATTTGTCTGAAACAAAAAAAAAACTATTTCAATAGTTTGCTAATTAAGACTATTGGTTATTATATAAACAATTTTCTGTGTGTTATACTTGAGAGGTATAAAACAGTTAAAATAGTTCCTTGATTTGAAAGCACTTTGGCTTATATTTCTGAAATTAGGACTTGCCTTAAAATACATTCAATTCATGTAATTTCTACACTTCTTCCAAAAAAGCATTAAACTGATGGAGAACCCTATAGTCAACAGAGTTCTATAACCCTGGTGAATTAGCATGCCATTATATTATCTCTGCTTTTAGGTAAGCGTAGTGTAGGTCCAGACAAAGAGAGACTTGGTTCATGGCACAAACTTGTAAGGGTCTGAGTTGGGGCCTCGATATCAAGACCCAACTACTTGAAATACTTGAAAGCCTGCGATTTTCCTATCCTAAATGGCTCAACTACATAAAGTCTTACGGTCTTCCAGCTCTTAGGGAAAAAGGAAAAGTCATTTTCTGTAACTAATTTGGAAGAAATAACTTTTCAAAATGTTCTGCTAAACACTTGGGGGTGAGGAGCTAGCAAGGGATTTAAGACAACTTAGATCATTCTTAACTAGTGCGGCAGAAACCAGCTGTAGTGTTCATAAACAGCCAGCACTTATCTCAAGACGGCCGTGGGAGCTGAGATAACATACATACAGAAAAGCACAATACTGATCAAAGGAAAGGACGCTATTTTGTTTGTAGAAAATGAAACAGTGCAGGCTCCACAGGGGGCATATCATCTCAGCAAATACTAAGGCATCGGGAAACTGCCTCCTCTCTGTCATGGGGCAAATATGAAGACACTCCATCCCTGGGAGGCATCTGATAGGGAGAAACTGTGGACAGCCAAGTAGCGAGTCTTAGCACATTGAGTGTGTTTTATTATCCAAACTAGAGAAATAGTTATAAAGCATCACATTACACAAAGTAATCACAGAGGAGGAAAACATCTTTAGTTCCTTCAAATTGTGAATGTACAATTGTGAATCAATGACCCCACAATTGCTCGGAGCTGACACAGATGGAGCGCCTAAGGAGAGGGAGGCGCCTCCTGCAGAAGCTGTGAAGGCACACCTTCTGTGCGCCCCATCTTTCATGCATCGTTCCCACCAGGTTGGCTACAAAGCTGCGTGAGGGGCTCATGCTCCCTCCTGGAGGTGACACAAATGACGTCTCTAACCCTTCCCGGCTTTAACACTGCTGTGGCTGGCGCTTATTCTACCGATCTGGCTACAAGAGAGCAAGATTTCACAAGACGGCCCAAAGAGGCTGTCCCCACCACCTCCTCCTAAGATGACTCGCAGCCAACACTCCTCGCGCACGCGCGTTACCCAACATGCCAGCAGGCACAAGGTGCACAACAGCAGTCTGCCAAACAGAAATAAAGCAAGTCACTGGGGGCCATGTGCAGTCCCGGCTGGGCTCTAGAACCGCCCTCTCGCAACCGATTGCTGCAGGTGTCTGGCTAGGGTGCAGGCCTGGAAAGCACCAAAGCACCACTCCGGCCACCCTTCAAAGCCACGGCCCTCTAAACATTCCCACCCTGACAAGGGCCTGTGCCAGTCACTCCTGCAAAACAGGGCCGTCCTTGAGTCTGCCTTCCTTCTCCTGATGGCCCTCTGCAGCCGGTGGTGGCACACCTGTCCACAGCCACCCGCACCAAACATCATCTTTCTTGCCTCCTAGTTTGTATCCCTCTGGTTCCATTACCCAGCACTTCCCAACACACCAACTCCACTCCTCAGAGTAGGCAGTCATCTTTTGTTCAGACAAAACACCCAGGCTTCTCTGGTGCTCTCAAATAAAAGTCTGAAGGCAGGGCGAATTTGCCCAGTACGTGCAATGCCCTGGGGCCTTAGGTTTGATCCCCAGCACTGAAATAAATTAAGATGTAAGCCTCTTACCATGAGCTAGAAGCCTCCTATGACCCCGCCCTAATGTCATTCCCATCTTTGCTTTACGGGACACACCCTTGGTTAACTCCCTGTGCCATCCACCAGGCTTCACCGCTTCAGCCTGCTCTCGGTACCCAGCCGTCTTCCCAGGCCTTGCCCCGGTTTCCCAGTTTATCCTTCCCGCCCTCTGGAAGGTGAGGTCCAAAGGCAGACCCAATCCAAGGCATTCTTCAAGTGTCCTCTTGAAACACTGCTACCTCAAACCGTTCTGCTTTTCCCACGGGCTCAGGAACCTCTGTCTACTCCACTATCATGGTCAAGCACCCAGAACATAGCTAGCATCCAGTTATTTCCATCAACTCAGGCAATATGTAAGCAGCTACTGTGTGCCCAGCACTGGTCTGGGGAACAGAGGCAATGGTAAAGACCCTACGGGTCCTTGTCGTCTGACGGGAAGTGCACAGACAAACCCCAACAGATGGCGGGTAGCAGGGAAAGTAAGGGAAACAGCGAAGGAGGAACGTTCTCTGGGGGAGGGCAATCAGAGGAGGCCTTAAGAGGAAAATGGCATTTGGGCAGAGGCCTGAACGGCACACAGGGGTAGAAAATAAGTGAGCCATAGTTATCCTCGATAAAAAACCAGCGTGTGCGCGCAAAAGCCCTGGGGTCGACCTAGGCCAGCAGCCAGCAGGCAAGGGTTTCCTTCCCTCACTGAATCTCAGACACTGGGAGGTTCTATGGAGGCCGACAGGACACACTTTATGTTTTAACAGCATCACTCTAGCTGCACGCGGAGAACCAACAGGGCAAAGCTGGCGTGCTCACAGCTTACAGAGGAGAAAGGGAAAGGCCCGCGTTCCAGTACCCAGGTGAGGTAGCATCAACAGCACCTTCCTGATCGATGCTGGGCTGGGAAAAGAAGTCAAGGGACTGTACACGGTACGGTACGTATCTCAACGGGAGAGCGGGGACCTAGCATGGGTTTAGAAAAGAAAGGTAAAGCAAAAGAAGAACCCAGGGCTGTCTCCATGACAGCTTAAACCCCTCGAGCAATGCAGGTGCCATTTACTTCCAGGGCAAGGACAAAAGGGTGACTTGATGAGAGTCTACTGGTCACCAATGGTGACTTCCACCATTACACCAGAGATCCCGTGCATCGGGCAGCCTCCGGCTCCCGTGCTTATGCCCAAGAGTGGTAAAGATCGGACTCCCGTGGTTAGGGAACCACTACAGCGGGATCCTATAATGGATTCCTGGAGCACATCCCCACATCCAGGTCAGGAAAACGAGAACTCAGCAAGGACTAGCAAATAACACCGGGGAAGAGTACAACAGGAAGACCAAGCGAGGAGTGTGTTGGGATTCGTATCTAATCTTGGAATCTGAGTCTCCCCTGATTAAATTCTTATATCACAGAAACGATAAAAATAACCTCTCGCAAATTAATATTCCTTGGCCTAGAATGGGCAATTTGAATGTGCTCCTGGAGGCTTAAGAAAACCGACATCTCCCGTTTCCTGAGTAGTTTATTCATTCGCGGATACATTTAACTACCCTATATGCCAGGTGCTGGAAATACAAATTCACACTTAAAAAAAAAAAACTTCAATAAGGCGGAGAGAGAAACTGTAAACATGCAAACAACCCACGTAGACGTCTGTCAGGTCACACCACTGGTCAGGATGGCACCACCACGGTGGGGACAGACGGAGGGCAGAGGGCATGGAGGCAGGTGAGCCCAATCTGCCCGCAGACCAGGAACCATCACCAACTTACCTTCTCAAGTCTCCTTCGGCGGGAGGGAGGCGGGAAGCCCCATCTCGCCAGACGGGTCTCGTGAGTCACACCAACCCCGCGGCTCTTGTAAGTTACCCGGGCGGACCCCCCAAGACCTCCCGGGACCCAAAGGACCAAGCCTTAACCCCCCACCCACCCCCAGCCCCAGCCCGGAGCCGGACGCACTACAGATCCCACCGGCCCCAGCGCGCCCCGCAGCCCGCCGGCCCAGTCCCGCCGCCGCGGGGACTCCTGGGGGGTTGTAGTCTCCGCCGCCCGACGGCCGGCTCCTACCTGGAAGCGATAGAGGAAGGCTTCGGGCCAGAGGAAGAAGTAGGCCGGGCTGACGATGCCGAGCTTGCCGATCAGAGGGACCGCGACGGTGGCAGCAAACCAGTAGCGCGTGATGGCCGGGATGCTCCTGAACCAGTCCCCGATGTCCGACATGGTCACCCGTCAGGCGGCCGGCCGCGCAGCGCCGCGCGTCCTCCCGTGCCCAGCCCGCGGCGCGCGCCCGCGCTCTCGCTCTCGCTCGTCGGCCGGCTCGGCCAGGGAAAGCAGGGGCGCAGCCCGCGGGCCAGGAGGCGGAGACCGGCGGGCGGACGTGGCGCCACCGAATTCGGACGGACGAGGCGGCAGCGCTCACCAGGGAAACTTCCCCTTCCGGTGCCCGCGGCCCACGTGACCCGACGGGCCCCTGGCGGCTTAAAGGGCCAGAGTCGTCTTTAGGAGACCCGGAGCCGAGACTCGCCGGCTTCGGGGTGGAGCCAAGCGCGGCGGGCGGGGCGGCGGCGAGGCGGCGAGTGGGAGGGGTTACGGGGGGAAGGGGAAAAACAGTGGTTGCCCAGAGCAACGGCCAGGGTTCCGAGCCAATGGGGAGGTCGCCCGCCCTCCTTCCCCCCCCACCGCGGTCGGGCGCCTCGTGGTGAGGGTTTCCTTAAAGGGACAGGAGGCCGCATGTGCGCGGCTCCAGGCGGGCCGCTCACCCCGGGGCTGCAGCGGCGGCTGCCGCACGGTGGTCACTCGCCGCAGCGGGACTCCACCGCCTCGGGTTAGACAGGTAAATGAGTAGTAAAGCAAAGAAGGTTTCCCGGGAGGGCTGTGGAGGAAAGCAGAGATGGTGGGGTAGGCGGAGTGCAGCCGAGGCATCTCGGGACGGTTTGAGACTTCACCGAAGAGTGGAAGCGTCCTGCCGGGCGGTGGTGGCGCACGCCTTTAATCCCAGCACTCGGGAGGCAGAGGCAGGAGGATCTCTGTGAGTTCCAGGCCAGGCTGGTCTACAGAGTGAGTTCCAGAATAGCCTCCAAAATAATACAGAGAAACCCTGTCTCGAAAAAAAACGTCTGAGCAGGGTGGCTGGCCAAAACTCTAGGGAGAGAAGTTTTCATGGAGAGGGAAGGCTGCTTTGAACAGGAATGCAAAGGGAACTTAAAAGAGGGTTTGACCTTGGCTCTTAATCTGGTTTCTTGAGGGCCTTTAAATTAGCTACAAATGAGGATGATGCAAAAAAACCAAACAAACAAAACACAATCCATGGAAGGATACCGATTTCACTAGAACTTTTATTCCATTTTGTTGCTGTTGTCTTGGAGCAGGACCTGTGTGGTTTGGGAGGCGTGAAACCTTCCACAGCAAACACGGCTGTAAACTGAGCTTAAAATGTTTGAACTTAACTGCAGTAAGAGAGATTGTTCACCAGAGAAACCTGGACCCATGTCACCAAACAAAAGCATCGTTACGGGATGGGAGAGAAAGGGAAGGGTTGGCAACAACTAGAAGAAGCAGTGCTTTGCAGATTCAATGTTTGCTTAACATCAGGCCTGGGCCTAGAATAAGAAGCAGACTTAGTGAGAGGGGAAAATCCTCACACTTAAATGTGGAACTTGGGGTCTGAAAAATTACTATTTAACTTCGTAAATTAATTGAGTATCTTAGGTCCAAGTGGCCCAGGTGGTCCACATCCTCCAGGAAAAAATAAAATACATGGGTGCATTTCCACAGTTTCCAGTGTTCCATTATTTCAAAGAGTTTTGGTCACTACCCTTTTTGAGTGTTAAGAAATGCACGTTTCTTAAAACAGAAAGGTGCTACATATTTCACAGATTAATGAGAGGGTACAAAGTTTGGGGTCCTACAGGATCTCAAGTGTCTCTGAAGAAACTTCTTCCTCCATAGTCAGGAGAGTTCAAATATTATACCTGCCTCTTCCTGTCCCCAGCACTGTCACTTTAAGTAAGGTATAAGGAATAAGAAAAAAACTGATTATACAACATGGCTATGGAAAGTTCCACTAATGAGCTCCATACATGTGCCTGAGAAAAAGGACAAAAATGTCATGTAGCCAAAATCCAGGCTTGTTCCCAGATTCACTGAGTGAGTGATCTGGACTTGACTGCCAGTTTTAAAAACACTGGAGGTTTTTGTCCTTTGTCTTTTCAAGACCGGGTTTCTCTGTGTAGCCCCAGCTACCCTGGAACTCGCTCTGTAGATCAGGCTGGCTTCCAACTCACAGAGATCTGCCTGCCTCTGCCTCCCGAGTGCAGGGATTAGAGACGTTTGCCGCCACCACCCAGTTTAGAGACACTGATGTTTATATTGTGACAAAACCACTGCTTAGCGCTATCACGATGTGGAAATCACTTAACCTCACAGGCCTTTGGTTTCCTTGCCGGTAACGGGGCTGCAGAGATGGCTCAGTTGGGAAAGTGCCCATTGTTCCTCAGGCCCCAGCATCCACATAAGAGCACACCAGTCCAAGGCAGGTGTGGGGGGGGGGGCACAGTCGTGATTCTTGCCACAGCATCTTCATTTGCAAGGCGGGGCTAATCAACCAGTTATTTAACGTAAGGAGGGATTCCATATTGGCAGTATCCTGGGAGCTTCTTAAAGAAACATGCCATTCTGGGAGATGGCTCCCTTAAGAGCTCTTGTTGCCCCTGCAGAGGACCTGGGTTCTGTTCCCAGCATCCACATGGTGACTTCCAACCATCCATAGCTGGCTGGTTCCAGGGCATATCTGCTGCTACCTTCTCGATTTTCCAAGCACTAGGCATGTACATGGTGCACACACGTGTATGTATGCAGCCAAAACCCTCATACACATAAAGGTCACTTAAAAGGCATTTTTAAGATAAAAGTTTATTTCTGTTGTTTCTATTAAAGACAAATTAGAAAAAAATGGAGAGAAATACAAGACTGGATAGAGCTGAAATTCTGTATTGAGCAGCTCTCTGGTGCTGACCCAAGCGGCTAGAAACTCAAAAGATTCTGTCACAACAGACATACAGGAACACATATGCCTGACACATAATGGCATGTTTCTTTAAGAAACTCCCAGCATATTGCCAATATGAAATTCTTCCTTATGTTAAATAACAGGTTGATTAGCCCGCCTTGCAAATGAAGATGCTGTGGCGAGAATCATGACCTATCACTGCCATTCCCAACAGTATTAAAAAGTAGCCTGAATTCCATCCTTCTGTTGTTTGCTAAATGTGTGGTGTAGACCATTCACTAAACTGATTCATCCTAACAGGAAAATAGTGTCACCTGGCACCCGCACTAAGGTTGTTTGCCTTAAGAGGCTACCATAGCGTTGGTGGCGCACGCCTTTAATCCCAGCACTCGGGAGGCAGAGGCAGGTGGATCTCTGTGAGTTCGAGGCCAGCCTGGTCTACAGAGCAAGTTCCAGGACAGCCTCCAAAACAATACAGAGAAACCCTGTCTCCTGAAAAAAAAAAAAAAAAAAAGAGCCTGTAGAATACCACGCTCTGTGCTTGTACTTCGCATATATAATCTCACTTACCACAGTAACACCCAGAGATGAATACTTCAGAGTCACACGCAGCTCAGTCGTCATCAAACCGATAAAGCCAGGCACAGAAGCTCACACTCATAAACCCCAACCATTGAGAGGCTGAGGCAGATGGGCTGAAACTGTATCTCAGAAATCCAAAAGCAGGGATCCAGCAACATGGCTCGGGACAAAATCACTTGCCGCCAACTTTGACCGCCTGAGTTGGATCCCCGGAACCTCATAGGAGAAGGCGAGAGCCACCCACAGTTTTCTTCTAACCTCAGACGTATGTCGTGGCAGGCACACCCCACATATGAACAGACATGCAATTTGAAAATTTAAACACAAAACTTAAAACTGCGCCTAAACCCAATAGACAGCCTGCTTTCCTACTACTGTGACTTTCCTCCAAGATGTATGGAAAGACTATAAAATCCAGAATCTGACAGACCCTAGTCTCATTCTGATCAGTGAAAGACCTGGGTACAGGAGGCGTTCAGTGCTTAGCCAGACCGCCAGGAACAAAGAAAGTGTGAAAGAAAATTTCTAAGATGAGTTTGGCAGTATACAACTGTAATTCCAGTACTCAGGATGCTGAGGCAGGAGGATCACAAGTGTGAAAACAGCCTGGGTCACATGGTGAAGCTGTCTCAAAGGGGAAAAAGGGAACAGAGTGGCCTGTTGGTGTAAGCCTTTAATCCCAGCACTCAAGAGGCAGAGGCAGAGAACTAACTCTCTGTGAGTTTGAAGCCAGCCTGGCCTATGTAGCAGGGTCCAGGCCAGCTAGGGCTACATAGTCAGACCCTGGTTCATAGGAAAAAAACAAAAGCAAACAAGCTTAACATTCTACTTCTTCTAAACAATCCCTGCAAGTCAAAAGAATCAGAATAACACTGACCTAGGCAGTAAGTCCTGATACTCATCAACCCATAGTCTATATTTATAATTACAACAACAGTTACCAACACTCCTCGGGTACGTACCGGGGAAGTTCTGTGTGTATCTGAAGTGTCCTGAGAATCAAAAGCTATTCAAGCTACTATGGGACTTAGAACAGGAGGTGGATTTCAGTGCAGAGGACTCTTTCCTACAGGCCTTGGATTGAAATCATCAACTGTGATGTGGAGATTCATTTCGACTTAAAATACAGGCAAAAAAATTTTCAAAAAGCCCTTCAGTTGGAAGTTGTAAACAAACCTAGAGAAAGGAGCATTAGGTAGAGCCTAATGGTATCCAATGACAACTCTTCCCCCCACCATCAGGAACCAGCTATTAGCAGAAATGGAAGTAAGACTATGAGATGCTGTGGTTTAAAATTATAGCGGGGAAGAGTATGTTTGGTGTATTTAGAATCCCAGTATCAAGAAGAAGCTGAAGTAGAAGAATTCAAGATCAGTATGAACAGATATATGATATATATAAAGTCTTTTTCTGTTTCTACAAAGTCTTACTAGTTATATCTATCATTTTACTGGCTAATTTTCTGCCATCCATGTGGTATGATCTGCGACCATTTTCATATTTTTGAAACTTCTTTTTCAATACTATGAATAGCTCTACAATGAATATCTTTATGTACGTGTAATACGGTAATAGCATTTTGCTAGCCGCTAACATTCATAGAGTGTTTAAATTTGACTGACAGTGAGCTATGCCCCTTCTGGGCCTGGTCTCAATGAGTCTTCTCAACAGCCGGGTACTTTCATTTTGTTCATAAATACAGAGAAAGCTGCAGAGAGGTTAAGCAGCAGTTTGGGGTGGCAATGCACACCTGTGCTCGCAACAGTCAAGAGGATGAGATGAAGATTTTGGGTTTGAGGTTAAGTAAGCTTGTGTAGGGTATACAGCAAGTTCAAGGCCAACCTACACTACATAGGTAGCAAGGCCCTGTGTATGGAACAGGGAAGTGTGAGCCTGATGTTGATAACGGATTTCCAGCAGAGCCAAGAGGAAATGCTGG